TCATTTTTTTTCCATATTCTTGCTTCGGTAGGTTCTTTTTTCCATATAAAATTGGGGTATCAAATGGAAAGTAATGACATTTCCATTCCACATTTCCTTAACTCTCTCTCTCTCTCTGATTGTGTGTGTACGTGTGTGCGTGTGGGAGATGAAATGTTTCATGATCAACATTTCTTAAATTGCAAAGTAAGCTGAGTAGCTAACATTTTTTGGAGGTAATGGGAGATGAAAATTTGGTTATAGTCATCCTATTGTGTTATTGTGTTGAAAATAAATTAAAATAAAATTGCTGATTTGCATTGATAGTGGAGTCAGATAAGGTAGGATTTGCTGAACTTAATTTAGACCGTTTATCTTTTAATGGTTGCTTAGTAGATCATCCATGTAAGAAATTAGGATCGGATATTAGTAGCCATATGATTGGATCATATTTGTCTTAAATAAAATAGACGGTTTATTATCGAAATCATACTTGTTGTCCATTTTTTTCAAGACAAATGTGATCCATAGTATATAGCTGCAGATGTTACTAATTGTCTAATGTTCAAAAGCGAGGACTGAGAAGAATTTATGTATAAACGACAAAAATCTAAACAACAAAAAAGAAAGAATCAGAATTGGGTTAATAGTCTTCCACCTCTCCCTTCATTGTGACATGGCTTGGCTTATATGGGGATCTTCATTGTGCAGTTTTTGCTTTTGCTTTTGTGATTCATGCTTATATGGGCTAATGTTCGTGTTTTTTTTTTTTGTTGGGGGGGGGGGCGAATAATGTTCTTGTGTTATGCTTGCTGATTTCTGTAATATTGAAAGGGAGCATTGTTGAAATTAGCCAAAGTTTTTTGCTGAATCATTTTGTTTTCAAGGAGAGGCTTGCAGTTGAATTACTAGATTTAGTGGTTGCATATTAACTTGTGACTCGTGAACTCATGTTTCTTTTTATAAGTGTAATAATTTGGTGTTGTGGCTTAAGGTGATCTACTTGTATACTCATCTCCTATTAGGTTCCACTTATGCCAATGATTTGACTGTTCCTTTATGATTTTTTTTTTTATTTTAAATGTGTTAGAAATTATCTCTCTTTTTCTGAATTATTTTTGAGATACTGGTAGGCAACCAGAGTTGGCCTTGTATTACAGTTGGGATCTGGCACTAATTAAATTACTTGAAAAGGCCAAAAAAATAACATTGGAGGTGTGGTTCAAAGAACCATCTATTTAGTGACTCAGTTTTGAAGCACATTAACCATATTTCAATATATTTCCTATGAATGCGTCACAATTTTTTATTTTATTTTATTTTTTTAAGTTAATAGTTCTAACCGAAAACTGTTTTTGATAAAGATTTGTCTGTCTGTTGCAGGTGCACATTCTGTCATCATGGCTTGCAACAACAAAAAGCCCACCCAAAATCAGTTGGTGCTTGAAAGAGGGAGCTCCAACAAAGTGAAGAATACTTCTGTGGCACGTGGCAGGAGAACTGGGTATGGAGTTATCATTGACTTGGATGATAGTGATGATGAGGTGCCCACAATTGATGGAACAACTAGCGTGCCCAATGTTGTTGCTTCACGATTTATTCTGAGTGATAAAGCAATATGAAGTGCACATTTTCATCAGACTGGTGATGAAAATGGGAGAAGTTGCACAGAGAATCACCTCATGGATTCAAGTACCAAAAGAAAAAGAGGTCCACGCACTAATATTGATGTGAGTAAGAATGATGATGACGATGATGATGTCATGACTCAAATTAGTAAACTTAAAACAAAGGCAACTCAAGAGTTGATTACAGATGGGGGTGATGGTTCTGATAGTGCAGATAGTTTTTCTGACATTGAAAGTACGATTAAAAAGCTCTGAAGTAGGAATGATGATAATAAAGCATGGTTATTTGAAATTGACATGATTTCGGTATTTCAGAACGATCCCAAACTATGCATGAATGCTGTTTGTGCTCTTTATAGGCAGCAATTGCGTAAGGGGCAATCCGTTAATGGCTCCTCTTTGACCAAGAATCAAGGATTTACTGCGTTTGATTTAATGAGGTATGACTAAAAAGAGGCAAGCGGTTTGTTGATTCCGTTCACTGATTACCTTCGGTAATAATTGCGATAAATAGTTCACCTAGCTACTAAAATTAATACATTGCATCACAACACATAGTGCACCACTTTGCTTATGAAGGATAGCTGCAACTGATATACTACTAGGTCAGGCCTCCATTCTTACGTTTATAAGATAAATATATATATTCTGTTATGTTACATTTTACAAATTACAGTTTGCAGTATGTTATATCTTTTTTCTTTTCCATTTTCGCTTTTTCGTTCAACTTATATCTTATGGTGATTTCTTGTTAAATTTGCACAATATGGTAATTTTTTATGATTGCTATTTGCATTGGAAAAGATTTTGAGAATTTGCCTATGTTGGAAGGTTATTTATGTTTATAACCAACACATGGAAAATATAGAAACATAAAATGGAAAAAATAATTGAAAAGAGAAGAAGAATAGCAAGACGAGGTGATTTTGGTTTCATATGTACTCACAGAAGTATGGTTTGGTTTGGTTATGTACTCACAGAAGTGTATATATATTTTTTTCCTTGAACAAGTGGATGCAACATATTATCTTGTGTGATTTATCGTTTCTTTGATATGATTCTTGGAATCCTGATTCCATGCACACACTTTATAATCAATTGCTTTCTCTCTCTGAAGACACAGTTACGGAGAGATGATTAGAGACATTGAACTGGTAGATACTCAACTATCAATTTCTAGAAAATATACGTGTATGTGGAAGAAAAAATATTAAATATTTTTTAATTTCAAAAGAAATCTACAAAATTGTTTTGGCAACACAGCCATGTTTCTGTAATAATGAACTGTCAGGTTGTCCAGTGTCTTTTCTTAGAAAATTAATATGCAAGTGCGTCCATGTTTATGCCTGCATGCATTTTATGTATTTCTTGGAACGTCATGTATATGTCATGTGAACTTGCGGATCTAGGTTCACGAGTCACATACCTATTCTTCACTTAAAATTTTGTATTGTCCTATTGGTATTGAATAATTACTGGTCTGTTTATGAAGAGAAGTTACTATGTATTGAATAATTATTTGTGTTGTCCATATTTTTATTAACTTGTTATCTTCAATGATCAGTTTATGACTGGATGTTACTATGTTTTCTGTAGGCAAATAGAATAGGTTTCATGTCTACTAATAGATGTCACTCTGCCACAGCTGCAGTACAAGTAGGGAAGGTTAATGATATTGTTTCGGATATTCCTTGGTTTTGTCCCCTTAAAATAGTATCATTATGTCACGTTTTACTAGTAGGACCATGCATATACATTGCTGCTCTTTGTATTAATTTATGTGTACAAATTTTGTACAGGCCTTTTGCTACCATATAATTTGCGATCCTCTGGTTATCAGGCGCAAATAATTATTTCGGCTGTGATTGAGGCCTCGAAAATGAGGCTAGAAATTGCCTCGAATGCATTTTTTTTTTCTAGGCTAATACATTGTAGAAAATAATAAATAAAAATAATAATAATAATAACAAGCAAAGCATCAACCCAGCAAAAAAAAAAAAAAAAAAAAAAAAATTGAGCCAAATTTGAGCCAAAAAATTTGAGGCCTCAATCATTAATCTAATTATTTTATTCCTTATTTTCTTCAATTTATTTTCCTCTTTACCCTTATATTTTCCCTAGCCCCTCTCAATGATCGTTCTCTTTCTCGCACTCGTTCTCGCTGTCTCTCTCTCAGTCTCATGCTGTATGAATCTCTCACTCTCTCTCTTCTTTCGATCTCACTCTCTTGATGTTCTTCTCAATCTTGTGCTCTCTGTTTCTTATATTCTAAAGACACAATAAGCTTTTCCCTGATTCTTTTGAACTCGATCATTGAAGGTACGCGCTCTCTCTCTCTCTCTCTCTCTAGTTTCTTTCTTCGTTTGTTCTTGTTTACCTAGCGTTTCGATCGAGTTCAAGGTGCTCTCTTTCGGAAGTTCTTTTCTTTGTTTCTATTTTCCTTCGTTTCTTCTCATTTTGCGATTTGAAAATGCTCCTAGGGTTTGGATCGACGGATGACCCTTGCAATATTCAAATTTGATGATTTCTATTATTCGATGAATGCAATTCAATTTTATTTTTACATTTCAAATTTTTTTTTTTGTTGCTTCTTAAGCTTGAAAATTCAGCATGTTTTTATTTTGTCTGATCATATTTCTTCATTTTGCCTCTATTTATCCGCTTAGAAATTGTCAGAAACTAAAATTGAAGAAATTGAGTTTTATTCTTTAGCTCTGTTTTTAGTCTCTTAGGCCTCGTTTGGGAACAGGCTAATTTAGTAACTTTTTGGCTATTTGGCTCAAAAAGTAGGTGAAAAAAACTTATATGTTTGGGATGACTTTTTGGCTAATTACGAAAAGATGTGCAAAAAGTAGAGAGAAAAGAGAACCTTTGACTTTTTGGTATGAGTTGTTGACTTTTTGGCTAAAAAGATAACTTTTTGACTTTTTGGCTAAAAAAGTAAGTCCCCAAACGAGGCCTTAGAATGAAAATAAAGATGAGAGTTTTATGCTGTACATTTTTCTGATAATATTTATAGTTTTTGCCTCTGTTTTGTTGCTGAGAAAATGCCCGGAAAAAAAATATATATATATATGTGCAGCAAAGTTGTTGACAAATTCTGATGAGATACAAAAGTTTTTGAATTTGCAGGACCTTATATAGTGATCATTGGTTTAGATAAGATATATGATAGGTTTCCTAGATAGCATTATGAGCTGCTAGATAGATATAATGTCGATAGTTTTGGAAAATAAATGAGCATTAGTTAGATATGTTGATGTAATTAAAGATATATATGTATATCTGAGCTGTAACTATTGTTTAAGCAGAGGAGAAACATGTGAATTTCTAATGGTAATAAGTTTACATAAAAAAAATCAATACTACCTTATGTTTTGGCATTAGTTATAAATGAATCTATTAGAAACATTCAAGACCATGAAGTTGGACATGGGACAACTTCTGTGGTTATTATATCAATCAAGTGATCCAGCAGATAATGATGCACGGAAAGATAAAGGCACTGGTCAGCTTTCTATCAAATGTAAAGAGGGTGTTAACAAGGGCACAAGAGAATTCGAGCCAACAGTTCTTGTTCGAAATGATGTATGTTTCTTCTAACTGTTTTTGCTCCTCGAAGTTGAGTTCAACTTGAAATCTTAAGTTTGTAATGCATCGCTGACATTCTTTAGTTCTTTTAGTGCAGTACCTTACCTTTCTATGTATAAATCTATGAAGGTGCCATCAACTCCTAACTTTTGTTTAATTGGTTGTTGATTTTTTGAATATTGATTAAATTTATCAAGGGGATACAGATAGTTGTTAATGGATTTATAGAACATGAGTTTCACATGATATTGATATGCTTTTATTACAGAGAAGATTCCAATATTTACCATGAAACAACTAAACATGACGCTGGTTCCTTTAGTTAAACAAAATTTCTTTGTTTGATATTTTGTATCATCTTTTGGCTACATTAAACAATTAAATAGTTATCATGAAGAATTCAAAACTGTAAAAGGAACTGCCTGCCTTTTTACTTTTTATCTTAAAAGAAATTTTGTTATTCATGTAAGAGTATGGTTTTTTTTTCTTTTTTCCTTATGTTTTGTCTATGCTGCTCATGTTTTGTATTCAAATTATTCTGTTTAAGTAACCATTGTGGCCTCTCACCACATACAAAATGTAGACTTACATGAAGGTGAATGGGGTGATCATGGATCTGTCAAGGCCTGGACTTGTGTTGTTGGTAAGGCATGATATATTAATTACATTATTTCCTACTGATTTCAAATAATACTGCGATTATGTTTTTTACATTTTAGATGTACGTTTTAATATATATATATATATACATGCGTGTGTGATTTCGATTTAATCATACTACTCAAATAAAGTTTGGATTCACCTTCTCTCTAGTTGGAGATAGACTTGACTAGTCTAATCTAGTTGATTCCAAATGGACTCACCAGTGTCTATTTCAGTGATTTAATTCTTTTAATTATTAGGTTTGTATATGATAATGGAAGGCTCATTTTGTAAGTTCTGTTTGCCATCAAATTTATATATATCATATAACCTCTTTATTCTGTTATTACTCACTGGGCTCTAGCTCACTATTTATATATATATATATATATATGTGGGTGGGGGGGGGGAGAGAGATAAAGACAAATTTCACTTTATCCTTTGTGGTTTACTCTCTTATTATTTGAAAATAATTGCATAACTCTTTTACGATTTGTGGATTAAAATGCACCGTTAGACATTCCGTCTAAGTTAATAGTAAATATGTAAAACACGCTCCAAAACATAAGGGGTTACATCAGGTGGATAAATTGAATATGAATTAAAACACAGGTGATTAAAATGAATTTTGCCTTCCAAAAATACTGAACATGTCATGTCTGTGATTTGTATATTGGGGTTGCTTATATGTTCTTAAAAATTGCATATGGAAGAAAACATAATTCTTCATTTCCAAATGACTGTGACTTAAAAATACAAATAAGTTAAACTACAAGGGGATAGAGTAAAATTTGTCCAATGTGATAAATCATGCTAAAATAATAAGATTAATCTTACTTCTTTATATATATATTGCACATGAAATCCTAAAAAATGAATCGGATCCTAAAAATGAAATCATCCAAGTGACCTTCTAGTGGGAATAAGACCAAGAACATGGAAATTGGTCACAAAATAAATACGGAAGGACAAAATATTTCATAAATAAATTCCATCAACTAATTCTATAAATCTGATTTCTACTTAAGTGTTTGGTGGAGAGAAGTCAATTTTTTAATATTTAGTCATTATTTATGGTTGACTTTTCTCAATTTATGCTTGCTTGTGTTGATGCAAATAGAGGGGAAGGTCAAGACATACAAAGAGAGGGTTTCCATAGATGAAGAGAACAAAACTAGTCCATTTGACAGCATTGGAGGGAATAGATTGCTTGGAGTTCTATAAGAGTTATAACCTCATCTTTCATATCATTCCCAAGGGAGAGACCAAAGTGGTGAAAATTACAATAGAGTATGAGAAACAAAATAAGGATGTCCCTGATCCACAGAAATATCTGAACTACTTGATTAATCTCTTTAAAGATGTTGATTCTAAGCTTGTCCAAGCTTAATGCTATGGCTATATATGGATAATGGTTATAGTATGACACCATATAATAAGAGCTGGAGAGCTCTAATGTTGATGCTTCCTAGTTTCATGCTTATGACACTACAAAAAATTTAGGTTTTAGGGACTAAAATTTAGGGACACAGTGTGGTTTGTCTGGATCTAAAATTTAGAGATTAAAGAAAATAACACCGCTGCTTTCACATTCCCAAACATGGGTAAGTTTTTTCTCCATCATATATGCTTTTGGCAGTATTTAATTCTTCTTCGTAAAAATTGCTTTATTTGTTTACTTGTCTCCACTTATGGGCCTCTTTAATGGTGCAGATATGTTTATCTTTTTATGAAATGAAAATCTCATCATTCCAAATTAGTAGTAGACCCCGGAGGTACGTTCATTGCAGTGCGTTGCTCTCTTTTTATTAATGTTTTAGTAATAACTCATAATGACGTATGCTTCCCTGTGAATGATGGCAGAGAGTGCTCTGGATGAGAGAAGTCATCGGAGGGCAGCACTTGAAGCATTTCTTCGTGAGGTTTTATTTTAGATAATAAAATTTGTGAATGAGAAAAAAGATCATGTTCCAATTCTACCTCTCTTTCTCTCTCTCTCTATATATAACATTGCTCTGAACTTACTTGATTTTAGTTCTGAATTCAAATTATTATTATTATTTTTTGTCATGTTAGATTGGAGCATGTGTGTGGATTTTAGCTTATAGTCATATTTTGGTGAATTTCAAAATGTGCTTTGGGTAGGCTATAAGCTTCATAAGCTTCTAATTCATGCATATATATTTAGTTGTGTGTGTAGAGGTTCATGCTAGTATGTTTGTCTTGAATACTGCTGTATCTGCTATGAATATTATTGTACAATTTTGTCTATATGATTCCTTCTCCCTATCAAGGTCAAGATACACCACTGCCATTGTCATACATGTTTGACTTGTTACATCCTCTCTTAATGATTTTTTCACCCACTGGCCAATGCATATGGACTTGCAAGACATAGAGATGGTCGGTGGGAATGAGCAATTGCTCCTGGTGTCTCACCATTTCCTAGATATCAACATGCAGCGGTGAGTTTTTCTTTTAAACTCCCAACCAAAAAAAAAAATAAAAAAAAAGAAAAGAAAATAAAAAGACCCCACTATTAGTTGACATTTCCCCCCCTCTTGTTCGGTATCTAGAAACCAGTCATTGAAATATGCTATGCTCCTGTAGGTTTTTGTAAATGCAAGGCTCCATGTGTCTGGTGGTGGACGCATGGTGGAGGACTCATCAAGTGTTGCAGATATTTTCCTTTATTTTCTTTTCCCCTGTAATCCAGCAAATGTGTTGAAATTGTTGGTGTACAAAATCTACACTGAAGTCTTTTTCTCAGATTTGTCATGTTTCTGTCTATAGTTCTGGATACTGCGGCAGGAGTCTGGTGTGATACAAAGTCTATTGTTGCCACTCCTAGGACAGGCAATACAGTGCTGATGCTGCTGGTGGAGACGCTGCAGTTGAACTGACGAGACGCTGTAAGCATGCTGCTGCTGCTGCTATTGGTGACCTGATATTTATCTATGGTCGTCCTATAGGCAGTGATTGAGACTGATAGATCATGCTATTAGTTTTTTGGGGAAATTATTATTATTTTTTTAATGTTAGTTATGAACAATTAGTTCTTTTTTTGAAAACATTAGTATTCTTCCTATTATTTTTTACTTGCGCTGACATTGAATTTTTGTTTCTAGATTATTGGATTGGTCTCTAGATTAAGTCGGTCTATATACGAAGTTATCAAATATATATATATATATATATTACTTGTGCTGACATTGAATTTTTGTTTTGTGAATTGATTCGTTGTTCTTGTTTATGTGATGAAGTTCACAAAAAAAAAAAAACTATACTGTTTTGTTTGGCTATGGAAAAGGAAACTATTTGAAATATGGAAAAGGAAACTGTTTTGTTTGACTGAATATTTATTTATTTTATTTTTTTTGCGACGATAACAAGATGGTCGCTAATACATTGTTGGTATTTTTTAAATTTTTTGCGACGGCAAAACATTAGTCGCCATAAGTAGATTAGGCGGTCGCAAATAGTTTGCGACTGTTGTTTTGCGGTTGCAAAAAGTATTTGCCATCCCTACATTCGCGACCTCCATTTGCCGTCGCATGGACCGTCGTAAAAGGTCTTTTGCAACTATTTTTTATTATTTGTGATGATTTATAGCGGTCGCAAAAAGTACTTTTTTTAGTATTGAGGGGAACTGCTTATGGCGAATATCTTACTGCTGGGGATCCACAACGTAAACTGAATAAATCTGTTGCAGAGTTGCAGCAATATGAGCCGCAGGGTCTTGATTACTGTAGAAAGTTGGTCATGTTATTCGCACCAGTTATTTGAGATTCACCAAAAAGAGGAAGATCTTTTTGTCCTCCCTACCCAAGATAATTTGTCACTTGTGCAATTCATAATGGAGTCTACCATTGCCAGAAGCGGATCCAAATTCGATGGGATTATTGGGGTTTAATGTTTTCTCATGGTTATAAGACACTTTCAGTTTAGTTTTTCGTATGGTTGTTTATGTGAATTTATGACATTATATGTTTTGTGTGTGTGTTTTTTTTGGCTGTAACTTGATGAATTCTTGAACTCCCTTAAATTCTGCACATTATATAAATCTTGTTTTGTTGAATATAATCAAGCATAGCATCAATGCGCACTACTAGAAATTTGACTTTTTGCGTCTATTATTTTGCGACTGATTATTTGACCGTCGCAAAAAATCACTTTTTATATTAAAATGTCGTTTTATTTTAATCCTCAAACGTATTCTTAACTAACTAAAAAAAAAATCCCAAATCTTTTAAAACTTGCCCTTTCCCTTTTTACTCTTATTTCCCAAATCCATTTTGCTCTCTTCTATTGAAGACCAATCTCCAATGGTATGAACTCTCTCTCTCTCTCTCTCTCTCTCTCTCTCCACTCTCTACTAGCTCGACTCTGTCTTTGGACTCTTCATCTCAACTTTATTGTTCATTTGAAGATTTTGATCAATAGTTGATGAAGATTTGAAGATTTTGATCGATTCATAATCGGTAAGCCTGATTTCTATGAATGAATCCAACTCTCTTTCTCTTTCTCTCTCTCTCTCTCTCTCTCTCTCTTCATTATATCTATTAGCTGTGTTTAATGATTTTAATATTTTGTGATGTGGAGGTTTTAGGGAGGTTTTAGTTATCTCCTCTTCATTTTTCTGTTGAATTTCATTTGTTCTTAAAAACAATAGAGGTGTTTGAACCTCTTGGAACAATCTGTCTCAACTCTTACTGTTTCCATTGTGATTTCAACTGTAATAGCTATCTGTGTGTTGATCCAGAATTGTTGATTCAATTGCCTGTACACACAGGTATGTTAGTTAGTTTCATGAATTAGGAACAGTAATGATTAAGGAAAGCTTTTAAAATCTAGGGCTATATGAAAGGGCAATTGTTTGAATTGGCTTGGTTTTGAAAGTGTTTGGTTGATTGAAATTATTCCTGGAATTTCTAGATCGCTAATGAGAGGTTTTCAAAACTGTTTTTATATGAATTTTCCAAAAGCAATGTATTGTCAGAACCTTAGGAAAAAACAATGTAAAATAGCAAAACTACTCCTCAAAATTTAATGGATCTCTACATCTCAAAATAATATTATTTGATTTGTTTATGTGATTTTATCAGCAAATGAGAAAATACTATTCATTTTCCCCTCAAGAGCCTTCAATTCTGTATGTGATTTTTTTTTTTTTTTTTTTCTGTGTATGAGACTCGGTGATAGTAATAACAGGATTCAAATCAAGAAGGGAAATTATACGAATATGTTAGGTTTTATTTTATCAGATGAATTTGGTTATAATTGTTCGTTTCGTGCAAATTAATGAAGCTTAGTGCCTAACATTGTTAGGAAATTAGACATCAAAGTTTGCAAACTCATTATTTTTATTGATGGGTACAAAAACAGTTATAGTATGATCATATGTACTTTTGAACGTGGACATAGTTTCTCTACCTTATGCCGTAATTGTTATGAGACTTGTTGTTCTATCTTCCTTGTCTTCATTATTTCACTTGGTTTAATCTCTAAGTTGAGTTTATCTATTGATAATTTTTAGACAATTAGCTACATGGCTGAGCGTGTTGTTGGACATGGATCATTCGAAGTTGTGTTCCAGGTAAAACTGCATGCCTTTTTACTGGGAAATAGTTGTGGTATATTCTATCTCATGAACAAAAAACTTTCAAGCTGTTTTTATGCTGATAATTTTTGTTTATTTAGGCAAAGTGCTTAGAGACAGGTGACACTGTGGCCATAAAAAAGGTTCTTCAAGACGAGTTATAAGAACAGAGAGTTGCAAACCATGCGTCTTCTTGACCATCCAAATGTCGTGTCCTTGAAGCATTGTTTCTTTTCTAAAACTGAGAATGATGAACTTTATCTCAATCTGGTTCTTGAGTATGTTCCCGAAACCGTTCATCGTGTAATCAAGCACTTCAATAAGTTGAACCAATGGATGCCGCTGATATATGTGAAGCTGTATGCATATTAGGTGTGGTGTTAGACCCTCCACCTTCCTTTTATGTCTCTATGGTGTTTTTTTATCTCGTCTGTCAATAGTGTTTTTTATCATGACAATTTTGTGTAAATGTAAATTTTACACCTTTTTTTCCACGGCACACATTTCCAGTTATAAACATTGCTTTCTTTCTCTCTACAATATTATAGGCTTACAGGCCCACATATTCAACATTATCCAAGTGTTTGCACTTACAAAAAGAATCTTTTCAAAGCATCTAGTGTGATTTTAGAAAAAGTTAGGAGGTTTGGGTACTTTACCCCTATTTGAGGTGATCTTTCAATATCATTCAATACTGCTGGGCAAACAAGAATAGGGAAATCGCATGAATGATATTAAGAAAAATTCTTTGTGGGTTGTCTTGATTATTTATTTGTTTATTGGCTTTTGATAAAGACTTTTCGTTCACTCTTATTTTAATGTTTCTCCTTGGGTGATCTTTATATTTTCCTTTTCTTGAAAGAGAGTTGTGGTTTATGTTAATTTTTGTAGACCATAATATGTTGCTGATATTTGGCAGATCTTCAGGGCTTTGCCTTACATTCATCGCACTATTGGAGTTTGTCACCGGGACATTAAGCCTCAAAATCTTGTGTGTACATCAATGTACTTCTAAGTTATAAATATCAGCGCCCATGCCTATTCCTTATATGCCATTTCTCGCACCACATCAATAACATTTGCAGCTAAGAACTTGATTTTTTTGGGT